CCAAACAAGACCGGCGCCAAATCAGCTATTAATTGTAGTTATTGCAACCCATTGTCAAATGCTTCTAAGGTCTCCCTAAAATTAATGTTTGCAGACTCAAACGCCTGGGCAGCGATTTGCATTCCGTGCTGAAGCTAGTTAAAGCGTTGGACACAAAACTGCAGCTAAGAAGCAAGTTGTTGGACGTAGCCGAGCTTCAACCTAATTTCGAAGGGGGGGACGTAAAGTTTCTTCTTGCCGTCCATTACTATCGGGGGCCCGAACCCTACGTTTCCCCGTTAGAAACAGGGTTAGAAAAATATGCCCCCCTCAGTTTTACAAATAGGGCGGGTTTTGACGTTATTGTAAAAACGTAGGGGTTGTTCAAGGGAGCTTGTATAAGGCGCGTCAAATTACCCACGAATTCGATGCGGGGAAAGCGCCTAGTCGGGGTGACACGCTTTTATCGAGGTGTCTTCTATCCGACACGAAACTTTGTCGTGGTATAAGGAATAGCCTTTACAATTGCAGTAAATATTCTAAATTGATGCTATTCCTTGATAAAAACGTGTGCATCACGTCTAGGCGCTATCCCCACATTGTAGGTAAAAACGATGTTTTGCCATTTTTGGCACGCCTCATAGGCGAAACAGAAGTAAAAAATAAAAAAAAAGCCCACCGTCAATCAGATTGGCTATTGGGCATTTACCACTAAACGTGTTAACCTATCATTTTATTGTAATTTATAGCTGTGAAAAAAATGTGATACTACTCATCCTGTGTAATAAAAATTGTTCCCCCCGAAACTCATTTAGTAATTATTTCTTGAATAGGCGGAGCCCNCCCCTCCACACAAACCTATTTTATATATAATACTGCCCCCCCGGAAAAATTTCCCCCCCCCTCCTCCCGGAAATTAGAAAACATATACCTGGTGTAACCCACCTTCGATACATTAACAGACGGGGACATTTTCTTTATCGTTACAGGGCAAAGGCGGTCCCGCTTCGGAAAAAATTAGGGCTGCGCCTTCGAGTTCCACAAAGAACTACTACTCCTATGGGCAAACCCCCGCACATGTGAGTGTCATATGCCGTACAAAATACGCCTTCCATCATATTTGTCTCTCTTTAGGAACCAGCCGTCACACATGAAGATCCGCGCATGCGGATCTCCAAAAGCCCTCGTACCCAAACACCTGAAACGCGCTACTCTTACTTCTTATAACTGCCCCTGCATTAATAAACAGGCAATATGTATGGACGGGCTGGTCAGATATGGTTCCTCTCGATAAAAACGCGGATCCGGCGATTCGACGCTCCAGACCCCCGATCATCAGTATTAGCGCGCGGATTATCCGAAACACACGCGGTCATTTTGTCTTAAAGTAGAATTTTGTGTAAAATGAGCGACAATCAACCCCTTTATGAAGTCGTCGAGTCGGCCGTGCGACGTAGTGTTAAAAAGGCCGTCGCCGTCTTGGCGATTGGCGTAGTGCACTCCCTCCGCCAAAGAAGGTTGAGTTCAGCAGCGGAGGGGGAAGAGTGTCTCGCTGCAACTGTTCACGCCCTACAGACGATAAACGAAAAGTGAGTGGGTTTTCCTTAATTATTCACACTCGTAGCCGATTTCCCTCTTAGGTTGCCCCCCCCCCCGGCCCAATATTATTTAACATTCAGCACGATATAGCATGAAAGATTCGCTCCTTCCAATTGCCAACAACAACAACAACACCCCATTCAAAAATTACAATTCGCATAACACCAACGGGGGAATATGTTCGCACTTGTAACCCCCATAAGGGGGGGTGCTTAATTAAGCATTAAAATGCCTAGGGCATCTCCGAATTCTGATCCTTGTTCTGGTTGCTTAATTGTGACCTGACCTGCTTAGGGCGTAAAATAAGCGCGAACACTTGAATAGATAGAAATGAAGGACGCAATTGTACTTAGGGGAGAAAAATAAGCACGGGCATTCGCATAGATAGAAATTAAGCACGCAGTTATGCTCGGGCGAAAATAGGCGCGAACACTTGAATAAGCAAAAAATTAAGCACGCTGTGTGCTTAGGGCAAAAATAATTGATCACCGCCCTACGGACGTTGATCAACACTCTAAGCACATGCCCCTCGGTCCGTGACTACTCACACTCACCCAACCTCCAATTAAGCACACTGTTGTGCTAGGGGCAAAAAAAAAAAAAAAATAATCAACACCCTTACGGATGTTGATCAACACTCTAAGCACACACCCCGCCCCCCCAACTACTCACACCCCACTCAAACCACCCACCCTCACTCCACCAGTTCTGTATTGACCCCACCCTTTAATTGGCCTATGTTAGCCGCCAGAAAGTGCTTAAACCCATAAGGAGGGGTGCTTAATTAAGCATTAAAATGCCTAGGGCATCTCCGAATTCTGATCCTTGTTCAAGTTGCTTAATTGTGACCCGACCTGCTTAGGGCGTAAAATAAGCGCGGACACTTGCATAGATAGAAATTAAGCACGCAATTATGCTTAGGGGGGGGGGGATAAGCACGGCACTCGAATAGATAGAAATTAAGCACGCAGTTATGCTCGGGCGAAAATAGGCGCGAACACTTGAATAAGCAAAAAAATAAGCACGCTGTGTGCTTAGGGCAAAAATAATTGATCACCGCCCTACGGGCGTTGATCAACACTCTAAGCACACACCCAACCCCCCAATTAAGCACACTGTTGTGATAGGGGCAAAAAAAAAATTAACCAACGCCCTTACGGGTGTTGATCAACACTCTAAGCACACGCCCTCCGCCCCCCCCAACTACTCACACCCCACTCAAACCACCCACCCTCACT